ATCAGTCCTTACTATTGTGATGTAATATTTTACCCACAGGAGAGTTCCCAGTTATCAGCCCAGGGAAAGTCTACGAGTACACCAGCTGTACCACATTTACCACAACCTCTGGGTACATGGAGGGCTACTACACCTTCCACTGCCTCTACAACAAGGACAGATTCTTTAATGTCACAATCCCTAGGTTTCATATGGTGTGTCCAGCATTCAAGGTTTCCACAGCATGAATGGTAAGCAGAGATGCAGTTGGCTAAAGCAAATCCCAAAATTATAAAAATGACAAAAATTACAGTGTTGAATAGTGTTCATATTGCTGATTCCATACAAAACATGGCCTACGATTCAGAGCTCCTCACTGGTGCTGCAGACATGGCATTCCATTAATTGCTTGGGTTTCAGAGCTCCCTCCTTGGTGGGAACACACTCATTAATTTTAGCCATAAAAATATATCTCTCTATTCAGACATGCTCCAGTTAATGACAGTTTAAAAACTGTAGAGTCTGTGATGTGCATTAGTTCTTGATGAAAGTGCATTTCATAAAGTCACTTAATGACTTTGCAAATCACCAAGATACTTCACTTGCTGTTAATTATAATGTAGTTTTAGTTTGGAGATCGTGGGTTAATTATATCATTTCTCCTTTTTTCCTGACACATTTAGAGAAGAGCTCTTGATTTATTTTATCCCCAGTATTAGTGCAAGCACTGAGGAGCTGTGAGCTTTCTTCAGGAGAAGGCAGCTTCTTGCCCACTGTGACAGGTTTATCCCAGGGTTTCAGACACTCATTCCCAGTGGCTCTAAGAAAAGGTGCCAGCAGATGTCGTGTGTCTAACAGAAAATGACATCTCTTAACTTCTGCTCACATTTTTGGGAATTTTATCTGCCTTCCTCTCTAACTTCCTTCCCTTCAGTTGATTGGAAATGTAATCTACTATTTTCTGTTGCTCCACTCCTATTTTAAAAATAGTAATGACCCTTTTGTTTTTAAGTTATTTTAGTAAAAAACAACCTAAACCACCAATAAAATGGGTACAGCTGAGCTACTGAACTGTGCCTTTACGTAATTATTGGTATGGAATAGTGAAACCCAGTGGATCCTTAGGGAGTGAAAGGTCAAGTAGTTTGGCAAAATGACCTCTGTTGCAAATTAACCTTGGTTTTAGGACATAGATCACAATGTCTGCTTCAGCTAATGGGTGTGATAATGCAGCCCAGATGTTTTTAGGCAATTGTTAGTGCTTTCTTACAATTAACTGGAAAGGAAGATTTTATTTAAACCTGGGTGTGTTTTGTATTAGGCAGCAAATCCCAATGGATCTGCAGTGGATGAAGATGAAGATTCCACAGGCACTGATGACTCCTGAGATCCACGTACAGTGTTGGACATTCCTGCACCTCTGGATGCTATCGTGTCACACTCTTGGGATTTTTTCCCCAACAGTTTGCATAAGCTGAACTCTTCAGGGCTAGTGCACAGGAATATTTCTGACTGTTGTAAATGAACTCTGTTGCACATCAGGGCAACTAGCATGAATGTTGGTGCCAGTTCTCATATTCATTAAGAGTATAACTTCTATTTCCCTGGTTTGGAAGTGGGTGAAGAGGGAGGAAAACTGGTAGAGGGAGAGGAAGGTATTTGGGCTTTGTTTACTTTTTTTCTGAAGTGTGAAACATCTTGATAGTCCAAGGTACTCATATCTTACATTTTTAAAGTATTGCCTACTTATGATCATACTGCAGATATGGTGTGGGGTTTTGATTTTATACAAAGCATTAGAAGGGTGTATCCTGTTGTCCTTTCTTGTGAGTTTCTGCTCTGGATAACTGCTGCTAAGAATGAAACTTGCAGTTTGGTCTGAATATCCCATATGGGTGAGATTAGGTGCTGTTATGCTATTTTTTTAAAAATTAACATAGTAACAGCAAAAAATTCTGGTCATCCAAATGTATAAATTAGGAGAGAAACTGGCCTTATTTATGGACAATCTGTTTGTCAGTTAGATTTTGTGCTAAGTGACTCTGACTGGAGAGTGCCTCTGGGAATGTAGTGTCCATGCATAATCTGCCACTGGTTAAGTAAAGAATTTCTCAATGACTACAGAGTATGGATTTGTAAATATGTTTTGAGTTTTTTTTGTTACATGATGGTTGCTGTTGACATAGGTGACAAATTTATGTTATGTATCATGTTTTCCTGAGCCCTGGATGGATTTTTGTAACTGAATAAAAAAGAAAAATAAATAGGAGGCTGGCAGAACAGCAGGTGACTAGAAAATGTATATCTAAAGAAGTATCTGTTTCCTTTATCATTTTTTTTGTTTCTGTTGTCATTAATAAACAACTTAACTGCCTCTTTTCTTCTCAAGTGCTACATGGGACTGTTTTTTGCCAAGACTTGAGCAATAATTTTGTGATCAGCACTGGGGTATCAGTCCTTTCTTTTGACAGCCAGAACTTGCAGGTTTTATGAGGTAGATTGGTATATTGTGGTTCAGCTTTTCCTGGTGCGTTCTCCACAGTGGCACAAGGTAGAAAAACAAATACTGAGTCTGATCCCTACAACAGTCATTAGGTGAAAACATCTCCAGAAATAAAACCAGTTTGTGTTGTCCATCACAAGAGTCAGAACAACACTGAGTTGCTGGAGTGCTTCCAAAACACAAGGATTTTTGATGATTACCACACTATTACCTGCGAGGGGTAAGAAATTTTCACAAGTTTTGTCAAGGATCAGTACAAGAAGGTTTTAGTGGAACTAGAACTCTATTGCAGGGCTGTCAGTGTGCTGTGTGTTTGCAAGGACAGATAACTCTCATGGTTGGAGGCTGTTCTTGGGAAGTTTCCTCCCAGGATCTCTATGTTCTAGTGCAATGGAATCAGCTCAAGGGCATGGGACTCTACACAAAGAAACATTGTCAACTCTTGGCAATTTTATTAGTTTCTGGGGAGTCGTTCTGAGCTGGAATTCTTGCTCTCTGTGGGAGAAGTGAAGATCCAGGACAGTGCTGTGCTTTCAGCCCCTGAGTGCTGTGGTGCCGGGGTTTGAGGCCTTAGCTCTGGGCACAGGTGGTGGCAGAGGGGTGTGGAATGAGGAAGGAACCAGGCAGGAAATGGAGGGATTGCTGCTCCTGCCCTGAGCATGAATGTGTTTGTGGCAGGCCAAAGGGTGTTTCTTTGCTTCAGGCAGCTATTTCAGCACAGGGTGTGTTGCCTGGAGCTGCCATGGCAGCTCCTCATGATGTGCATATGAAGTTGGGCTGAAGCCAGTGGCTCTCCTCACCCCTTCTAAGAAGTGTGAATCATGGAATCAATGTGAAATGGAAAACAAAGGAGTTGGTGATGTTTGGCAGCACTGTGGGAATGTTCACGGAGCAGCAGGAGAGAGCTGAGTCGATGTCCCACTGCCACGGACAATGCCTCACTGCTTTGGGTGAGCCCAGGTGTGGGGCAGGGTCACTTTAGTGCCTCCAGCTGCCCAACACTTCTGTAGTCACTGGAATCACAAGAGTGTCCTTCCCTTGGACCACTGTCCTGCAGGCTCAGCTGAGCCTCTGATGCTTGGTTAGGACTTCACCTGGCCATCTAAAACCAGCCACATTGAACACCCGTGACTCAGCTTGTGGTGAAACCCTGGTACATCCAACACAAACATGTATCCGGTCTGGTCCTTTTTCTGTCTCTGTGCTGACAGTCTGTTTATAATTGTTCCTCAGGATTCCTTCAACATTTTTGTGGGATTTTGCTGGTTTCATGGAGAGGACCTTTGGCCATGATTTCTTTGCCGTGACTGCATCACAGAGAGAAAAACAAGTGCTGTGCCAGCCAGTGAAATAAAAAAAACCCAACTGAAAGTTGCTGTGCAAGTTATTACAGTGTTCTGGTGCTGGTGTTATTTTTTTTCTGTCATTGTTTAGTTTCTCAAAATTTATGCAAAGAATTTAAGGTGCAAAATTCAGGTCAAGTTTGAAATACCATTTATCTGTGATGATACAGATAAATCTGTGCTCTGTTGGAGGGACTCTTGCCAGATCTTGGGAAAGGAAAACAGGTAAATGTTCAGCTGTGGCTGAAGTTCTTTGTTCCCAGTTCCTCAGCTAAGTGAATTAATATGGGAATTTTTCTCTATCATATTAATTGAGGGGATTCTCTTTTAATAAGCTGCATCCACTAATCTACAAGCATCTTTTTCTTACATCCCTTTTTAATTTATGGTTTAAACAGAGGCAAAATCTTTTAGACAGAAAATAATATACTGAGCTGACTGATAATCAACACATCAAGAGAATCTGATGTAAGTTCTGAGTGATTTAGGGTTTGCTTTAGGTTTAGTAAATAAATAGGCAGTTTAGGTGGGATAAAAAATAAATCTAAGAATATTTTTAAAATATAACTGGTAGTTTTACCGGTATTTCATATTGTCCTCAAGTCAGCACTGAACCTCTCTTTTTTTTTCCTAGATAGCATGGATCTAAGTATTAGTAAAATACTTTTGGGGTACTCATTTCAATTGCCGTTCAATGTTTTCCTGGGTTGTGAATGTTTAAATCTAGATTCATGAACTTCTGGAGGAAGGTGCCACTTTCCACTCCTGGTTTTTCCTTTGTGTGTTCTAAAACCCTTCAGTGTTTTAATTTATCTATTAATTCATACCATGAGGTATCTGGGGAGACCTTAGAGCACCTTCAGGTACCTAAAGGTACCTCCAAGAAAGCTGGAGAAGGACCTTGGACAAGGGCCTAAAGTGTCAGGGCAAAGGGGAATGGATTTTAAGTGACGGAGGGGGTGGATTTAGATGGGATATTGGGAAGAAATTACTCAATCAGAGCACGGTGAGGCCCTGACACAAGTTTCCCAGAGAAGCTGTGGCTGCCCCATTCTTGAAGTGCTCAAGGCCAGGTTCGAAAGAGCTTGGAGCAACCTGGGATAGTCGAAGGTATTCCTGTCCGTGGCAGGAACGAACGGTCTTGAAATTCCCTTCCAACCCCAAAGTGGCGATGGCCCAGGCATGGCCACATGACGCGTGAGGGAGGGTGGCACACACGTTCCTGCAAAGCATTCCTGGAAGCTTCCCGGCCGGCGGGAGCAGGGAGCACCCGCGAACCTCCCGCTGTCCGGCCTGAGGGAGCGCTTCTCCCGCCGTGGCTCCGTCAGCGGCTCCCGGCCGCCGCCCCGCCCCGGAGGCGGCACCGCCGGGAGAGGCAGCACCGGCTGAGGCAGCGTCGCATCGCCGCTCCCTGCACACGGCAGGATTTGCCCGGGGAAGGTGAGCGGGACAAGCCCGGAGCAGCGCCGGCAGCCCGGCGAGGCCAAGCGGTGGCCGCGGGGGGAGCGCGCAGGTCCCCGCTGCGGGGCAGAGAAGGGGGCAGAAAGCGGGGAGAAAGGCGGCTTTTCCCGGGAGCCACGGCGAGCGTGTGGCTGGAGCTGCGCGCTCGGGCCGGGGCAGGTGTGCTCCGGCCGTGGCCGTGCCCTGAGTCACGGCGGCCGCACCGCAGTGCGCTGCGCTGCGCTGGCCGGGCGCGGGGCCGAGCGGCGGAGCGGCCGCGCAGGGCGGGGGAACGCGGCCAGGAGGCACCGGCACCTGCCCCGCCGCGGGGATGCGGCTCCCCGTCCCCTTCCCCTGTCCTTTCCCCTTTCCCCCCCGTGCTGGCTTCTGCGATGACAGCAGCAGCGGGTCTTGCCCGCCTGCCTCCTCCCAGGTGGGACTGCAGAGAAATTCTGTTTCACAACCGGGCACTGCGCTGTAGCAGCTGCTGTTGCTTGTCATTGAGATGGGTCTGATGCTCGACTGATACAAGTAATTTAGAAAATTCAGTTTAAGAGGTGTTTTCTCCTTTAATTTGTTCTAAGTCATGTTGTGAATTGCTGTTTATATATACAGTAATTGTTTTCCAAAGGTCGGAATTTCCTTATGTCGGGAAATTGAAAACAATTGTTTTCCCAAAAGTCGATGCATTGAATTACTACTGTTTTGCTGGCTCTGATGATTTTTATTCATCTGCCTTATATTTATGCTGGTCATAACTTGGTGTTGCTAAAAGGCAAAGCTGTTTTCGTCTGCTGACATATGGGTGACTGAGGACGCCTGGAAGATGGAGAGATTTCCAGGGTAGTTCTGTCTGCTGTCCAGAAGGGCTCTTGCTGTAAGCACCAGGCTTTACAGTGCTCCTTTAGATCCACATCACCGTGGGACAAGCCTCTGGCCTTGAAGGGCTTCTTGAAAAGTTGTTTGTTTACCCAAGAAAATAAGCTCATCTTGCACATAACGGTTTTGTTTTTTATAGTTTCCCCTCTGTTCAACAGTAAGTCATTACAGAGAGGAGAAAAAAGAGAGCAGGTTGGTATTTTTAGTCATGAGATGGGGTTAAGATACCTTTGGATAGGTTTAGGTTTTTTGTTTGATGAGGTTTGGGGTTTTTTGTCAGTAGAAAAATCAACTAGACTTAAGGTAGAAAAGTATTTAAATACTTCTTTGCTGTGAACCCATCTTGTCAAGTCCACAGTCACTGTTCTGGGAGGAAAAAGCTCCATCCTAATATGGTTAATGACTGCCATGCTAAAATCTTATAGTTGCAGACGGACAGTATCACTACAGTTTTATCAGATGTAAGACTTGTTTTCTGAATACCTTTAATATTTTGGAACTTTGAATGCCACTTGGGCTTTAAAGACAAACATAAATCATGTCCTCCTAGCACAAGTGTGGTCCCTCTCTCCCTGCTGTGTCTCCTTGATGCCTCCTCAGAATATCCCACTCTGCAGTAGCAGAGGTTTTTCAGTAGGAGCTATGATTGTAGTTCAGAGTCTGTGTGCAGAAATCTGTCTGAGAACTCCTGCTTTGGAGCTGCCTATGTTTAAAAAATTCCTGACCTTCCCATCGCACTGCTGCCTACGGATTGCAGCAGCCATGGAGACCTGAGCCACTGCTGCAGGCACTTGGTGAGTTATTGCCTGTGTCAGTCCCTCAGTGAGAGGAGAAATTTTGGGAGAGGAGAGGCAAAAGCTCCTGCAGAGCAGCCAAACCTCTTGCAACCCCTTGAGAGAGGAGAAAGGAGCGCAGTCTGGCTCCAGGGTTACTGGGGAATTGCTGAAAGAGAAAAAGCATTTGAGACCATGCTTTTTGTTAGGTGCATTTGTAGCTGTGAGAAATTGGGAGGCCTGTTGAATGGTGTAATCAGAGAGGAGAGAGGAGACCCATCTGAGCCTGTCAGGGCTCAAATACCAGTTGTGAGAATAAAAATCCTGTTCTCAGAATAAAAATCCTCCCTTGGAAAGTGAAGTTATTTTCCTCTCTTGTGTTTTCCAGCTTTTCCTGGACAGTGCTCTCAGTTTTACACTGAAACAAGTCTTGAAACCTTGGTTCATCACCGGGCACTTTGCTCTTAAATAAATAAACTTGTAATATCTCTTTATGCCCTTAAATTAGGGAGGAAGCATGACCAAGATGAACTGCATCCTACTGACTGCCTGCATTGTTCTGATTACTTTTTGTGGCTCTGGTGAGTAGAAGAGAGGCACTTTATGGTTTAATGTTATGGCAGAGGCTGGGAAAATCATGGACAAAAATGCCAGAGGGAGTAAAAAACAGCAAGAAAGGTCTGGATTATTTAATACCACTGTGGGGCATGTCAGCAACCATTGAAGTAGGGCTTAGCTTCTGTTCTGATTGTCTTGGGTCGAGACAATCAGAACAGGAGATTCTCAGGAGAGAGAATTTGGGGCAGGATGTGGTGCTGCTTAACACAACAGAAAATTACTATTTTGCTGCTAGAGAATGGGATTCCTCTTGTGGGAATTTGAAACTAGTGTGTAGTATGAGAGGGAAAGGAGATAGAATTTAAAAAATTGATAGAAAAAAGCTCAGCTGCAAGTATCTGTCATTGCCTGGAAAAGGCAGTCTTCAAGAGCAGATAAAAGGAGCAAACGAATATCTTGTTCTGCAGGCAGATAATGGTGTTTTAAAAAGTGACATAAATACATGCTTCAAGATATGCCTATCAAAATTGTCAGCCTCAATTGGTGCACTGACATAAGCTTGTCAATTTTAACTGAAGTCTTGACTTTAGCAATTTTAGCTGAAATCTTGATCTTAACAACCAGGCAGGTATTTTGTGACAATTAGATGCAGATAAGTGATTCTTCTTTTGTTTGGTTTTTTTTTTTTTTTTTTTTTTTCCTTTTTAATGCTGCTGCTGCTGTCTCAGTAGTTTATTACTCAGTGAAGATAAACCCTTGTTGTCTTAGGTTATACCTTAAGATGTTACCACTGTGACAACAGCCCTACCCTGTGCAGGACCAACAGCACTTGCTTAACGACTGAAGACACTTGCTTGCAGTTAAAATTTGGTATGTACAGTGTCCCACAGACTTAAAATAAACCCACTTGGATCAGCTTTCATTGCCTGGACACCTCTAATCTGGCCTTAGCATGTGTATCTCAGCCTCACTAAAAATGAACTTGCAAATACTCATGAAGGTCATGCTTGTACCCAAGCAATAATGTAATGATTTAGATATGGGAGTTGTAGCTGTAGAAGCATGTACACAGATAGCTGTATATCCAGATTTTAAAAATAAGCAAACAAACAAACAAAAACCCACACAAGGAAGTTGGAAAAAATTAAAGACAACACTGAGTGTCAAATACAAGTTGTTACTCTATGAAAACAGATAAAGGATGCGTAGCCCACAAAATAAAGCTGGTGATGAATGGCTCAGATGTTTATGAATTGACACTATTAAAATAAATTCTTTTTTCCTGAGGATGAAGTAATTTGTGTCTCAGGATGGACATCTTTAACTAGATCAGGTTGCTCAGAGTCTGGCCTTGAATGTTTCCAGGGATGGGACATCCACCACCCCTCTGGACAATCTGTGACGGTGTTTTACCACACTTACCGACTCTTCCAGCTGTCTTCTGCACATTCTTCACTGAGAGCCTTGTCAAGTGCTGACCCAGGCTGCTCGGGCAGTGCTGGAGTCCCCATCCCTGGAGGGATTTAAAGGCTATGTGGATGTGGCACCTGGGGACATGGGTTAGTGGAGGGCTTGGCAGTGCTGGGTTAAAGATTGGGCTTGATGATCCAGAACCAGAACACAGAACACAGAACCAGTTAGGTCTTATTCAGCCTAAATGGTTCTGTGAATGCAGGCTGAGCTGGCTGGTGATGTCAGGTATCACTCAAGCTTACCCTGTATTTCCCAGTGGGTAAATTGGATACACAGTGCTAAATTCCTAGTGAAAGCAAATTTGGAATCTTCTAAACAATTGAATTTAAAAAAAGAAGTACATGTCTGTGGCAAAAACAAAACTACAGGGATGATGCTGGGGGCACAAATGGCCTGTGAACTACAGGACACAAGACTTTACAAAAAGTGTCCCTTTTGGAGAGGGTGAGAGGCCAAGCCCAGTGTCCCTGAAATCTTGTGTCAAATTCTCATTCTCAGTTTGCTTTGAAACTGGGGGCACATTTTATACCTTATTAGCCACTGCTGTGCAGAGTGCTGTGGGTGGGACTGTGGTCAGACTTTCCACTCTTTGTACAGAATATTTCTTGATAGGAAGTTTGTGCTGAGTCTGTGCAGCATTTCTGGGGCTGAAGAACCAGATCATGCAGCTTCTGCCTCCCTCCACTGTCCCCTGATGCCATGGCAACACAGACCACAAGGCCTCCATCCAATTTCTGTGTTTGCACTATGGGTCCTGTCACAGATTGAGCTTTGACTTCTCCTCACAGTTTTATTCTCTTAACAGTAGCAGCCTAAGCCCTACTTCTGTCTGTACCAGAAACGGTGTTACTGTCAATACTCTCTTAATCTGTGTAATTTTTTTTTTTGTTCCATAGGTAAATTGAGAACTTTCTCCTGTTGGAAGGCATCCCAGTGCAATGTGAATGAAATTGCTGATTCCTTCTTGTTGGATAATTTTGAATTCTTTTGCTGCCAACATGACCTGTGCAATGAGAGTGCAATTACTGGGGTTAACAAAGCAGCCTTCAGTATTGCTTCTCTAATGGCCATGTTATGGATGTTCCTGTAATAATCCTGATTTGTAAGCTGTCCTTTCAAGATGAAGTTACACAAAACCATTAACTCTTTTCTATATAGCATATTTTCAGCTCCTGTCCATAGGCAGAAACATTCCTGTGTAATTTGGTTTCCCAAGGTTGTGTCTGTTAAATCACTGCCTCCATTCATGGGAAGGAGATGTGTGTTGTTACCAGTTATTGGGTGTTTTGATCTGTCCCCCTGCTCATGGGGAAGGTCAGCTCTTGTAAAGTCATGTTATCTTGGCAAACTCCAGTGGGTAATGTGAAGGAGAAGAACACTACAGCTTTTCTGCTGAAAACTCTTTGTTTTCCTATCACATAAACTGTCATTATTTTTGGTTGGCACTTCTGTAGGTTTTGATTTGTTTTGCTTTGGATCCTCCTTGTCACAAACCAAGCAGTGGATTTGCCCTCAACACAAGAAGTGTTGGATTATGTGTACCTTGTTGCAGTCTTTCTGATGAATATGGAAATATTCAGTTTCAAGTAATTTAAACACTTTGTTCCCATCCCTGTACCTCTTTTTTTTTTTTTTTTCTACAAGCCAATGATATAACCTTGTCAAGTGCTGTTATTTTGGGAGAAAGCATCTACAGTTCTTAAACCAAAACCAAAATATTGCTATAAGTGAGAAATACTTCTCTCTTTTTTTAAAAAAAAATATATATTTCTGTGAGCATGTAGACAAGATGTGATAGCTTCTTTTTGGATTTTCCTCATATATTATCCATGCTTAGGATTTTAAGTGAGCATGTGCTTTGCACTGAGTATTTATTGGTATACTGAAAATCAATTATAAAATCCTAAGAAGATGAAATAGCACATGTAGGTTACTTCCCCACCTAGTTAGCTTTTGGGTTTTGTTGAAAACAGCAACATGTAAACTTAACCCTTCAAGCTTCTACCTAAGAGTATTAAAATCTTGCAGAACTTTCTTTCCATAAATGCCAATGCACAGTATAGGTGTGTATTTATATAGCATGAATAATACCTGCTCCATCAAATTCTGAAATACTTACATTGCTCTGCTCCGTGGTGGAGGCAGACCTTGGGACATCTCTGGTACCTGGGGACCCTCTCAGTCAGGTGAGATGCCAGATCCTCCTTTTACTTCTGGAACCGCTGGCATATCCCTGCCAGAGTTGTGTCCATTGCCAATGGGCTATCCTCTTCCTGAGGACCCTCACTTGTGCTCCTGACACCAGTGACACCAGTCCACCAGTCACAACAAGGGTGTTGTTCCAAATCCCTGATGTAATCCACAATGTATCTTTTGGCTGAGCTTATTGTAGCTATGAAAGTGTCCTGGGATCTTTCCCATCACTCTAAATATAGAAGTCATCCTGTCTTTGATAAATAAAAATGTAAAAAAGAAGAACGTGGAGTGTGTGGTGATTTATTGGTATTTACAGCTGGATAGAATTCCAGTTGTTTTCATGGGAGGTGCATCCATGCTTCCCATCCAGAGACTCAGCAGGTTCCAAGTAGGCTTCTCTCCTTCCTTATTTTTATTTCCCACATGATTAAAAAGAGACACTGGAAGACAGCAATTTCTGCACAATGACTTTTTCCATTGCTGCAGCACCATTTGTCAAACTCAGGCTCATTTCTGGTGAAAAAGTATTAAAGCACTGACTCAGTATAAATTGGGGGAAGGTTTGTAGCAGAGAGGTATCTTTTGTTAGACAAGGTGATAGATTCCTTATGCTTAAATCATTCTGATGGCAGCATTTTCCCCTAGTATATTGTCACTGTCTCTTTTTGATGGTGGTAATTTTAAACTTGTTTCATTGCTGTATGGCCTGCATAAAATATTCTTTGTTGTTAAGTGCAAAAAGAAGCTCTGTATTTTGTGTGTCTAATCTTCAAGCAATCATTTTTACTATTTCTTTTTTGATAGCATTGAACACTTTGTCTAAATTATACTTTTTTGTTTCTCTTCTAGAAGCAGCCTAAGCCTTGTGTTTTAAATGTGTTACTTTATTCTTGTAAAGATCAACCAGAATGTGATTTAATTCCTGTAAGGTTTGCATTTTCTGAGTCTGGCTGTGCTGACTGCTGAGCTTTCTCCTGCTGGCTATTGAACAGTGGCTGCTCCTTGAACTTTGTCATTCCTCCCCCTGCTGCTGCTGTGTTATGCCCAGATTTGCTGGCCAGTCCGCTAAGAGGACCATTAAAACCGAGAGGGACATGAAAACTTTAGTTCAAGTATTAAAATACTGAAATCTGTTCAACTCTGAGTTCACCAGGAGTCCCAAGTCCTCTGCTGTTTTCCCCAAGTCAGCACCCAGCCTGTGCTGGTGCCTGGGGTGATTCCCAGTGTTTGGGGTGGGTGTCACAAAGTGGTGCCTGAAAGCCAGGGACTCCTGGCTTTGGGTCTCCCTCAGTGGGAATCTCAGCCAGATATTTTGTGTAGTTCAGCTGTGTCCTCTGAGATTCAGGACAATAAAGTAAAGTCAGGGTGCTGCAGCGCAGAGGGGTCTGTTGCCCCCTGCAGTGACTGCTGGGTAACTTGGCACTGTTGCCAGGGTTGCTTTGGTTTTATTTTGTAATTCTCTGAGTGGCTTGCTCTATTCTGCATTAGTGGTGTGACTAAAACCCCATCCTTTGAATGTGCTTTTTATGCCACTACACATCGTTTATGTACTCATGGTCAGATTGCTCTATAACCAGCAGTCTCTTTTTGTGGGGGGACACACAAGTTATATAGGAACAAGAAGGTTACAAATGGAAGCTTCATCAACAGCAGGAATTCATTCTTGTGATCTGTTTTTGCCACGAATTCCTCCTCCAAGTCCTCATGGTGGTGACCAGGAGTACTTTGACTTGACCTTGGGCATGGAAAGAGCTTGGAAGCCTCCTGGTACTGGTAGGTATGTGAGGCTGATACACGTGGTTGAGAGGAATTTGGCTTTATCCTGTGTGAAATCCCTCTCTTTTACCATCCCTCATCAAAGATGAGGTGGGATGTCTCTGCGTTATTTCAGGATGCAGGAAATTGTGAAAAGAAGCAGATTCATGGGGAAAAGCAGACAGGCCGAGCAAGCCATTTCCTCCCACGGCTTTTTGGTGTGAGAGGAATGAGGAGGCTGACCAATGAGCAGCTTTATTTTGGAAAAAAGAGTAGCTAAGATAACAGAATAGTTCCAGCAGAGAGCTGCACATTAAGTACCTCACTGTTGCACTAACTGGGGCATCTGGATACTGCTGTATTATAAATATTAAATGCATTTAACAACAGCGGTGTTCCTCCAGCTGGAAGAGAGTTTCATGTGTCTGAATCTCTGTGTGTCTCCAAGGGCTTGGTTCTCACTGGTAAAAACAGTCAGTCCTAAGCTGGCATCACAGCAGGGGAGTTTGGCTATGCCTAATCATCCAAGAAAGCATTGTCTGTGAGATCCCCGTGTTTATTGAAGCAGAAAAAAGCACACTGCACTTTCTGACTCCACACAAGGTGAATACTGCACTAACAGCACAGTGCTAACACCATTCTGCGTTTTAGAGGTAGAGAAGGAGCAACTAATTGGCTGTGAGATCCCCAAAAGAAGTGTGTTGCCATCTCCACTCCCATCTTTCCAAGAATAACTTATACATTGGGATAAAATGAAGACCTGCAGATGATATTATTTTTATCAGTATGACAACTTACAGCATAGGGAAAACTGTCCTGGAGCCTAGGAAAAGGCAAATTAAAAATACTTTTGGTTTCTTCCTCCTAAGTGGAATGAGTAAAACCAAAAGGGTTAGAAGCAAAGTTCCCCTCCCAAATAAGGAAACCTCTGCATGTGATCCAGTGTTGGTTCTATTTAAGGGATAAGCAGTCTTGAATTGATTTAGATGCTTCTGAACCCATACCCCATGGCACACTAGTCCTGTTCAGGTATGACAGCTTCACCAGTCCTCCCTGCACAGGGCTGGTTTGATGCTTGATACAGTTCAAACCAGTCCCTCACACCATTTTGGTAGATAGGGATGGGAGTGAAGCACCTGCACTGCTGTTTTTTCCTCTCTCACAGGTATTTAGAGATGCTGCTGTGGGGCAGGTTTGGAGAAAAACTATGGAGACACTGCAGGATGGGGGTAACATCACAAAGGTCACAGGTTGAGAGGATGGATGTTGTGGTCAGATTCACAATAGAATTCGTTTTGGAGACTGCTGCAAACCACATAAACCTTATTCTCCAGAGGATTCTCCATGGAGTGCTCTGTGCCACACGCAAGCCTGCGGTTCTGGAGTTCATTCCATGCTTAGATTGCTATTTCCAGAGATGCTAAAGTCTTTCAGGGATCTTCAGGCACCCATCATCATTAGCTGTCATGTTCCTAAGTGCTCAGGGCTTGGGTGAGAACATGCATAGTGTCATCATTTAGCTCGCATCCGAAAGGAATGATGGTAGGAGAGTTGCACCAGGAGATGATTAAAGAGATTAAAATGACAGCCACATATTGAAATAAAATGACTTTTAAAGTCTGATGGGTTTCTTCTTTCCTGCTCCCAGTCATGGTAATGTTGTAGGATCTTGTTATTTTCTGTTCTGTGGGATGCAGTGATGCTTGTCTGGGGAATGGTGGGGCTGTAGCCCAGAACCCAGTGCCAATTATCTCTAGAAATCTCTGGTTTGCACACAGATGAAAGGACTATCTAAAAGATTGCAAAATGCAAAATACAAATGGTGCTGCTGTCAGGTACAAGGCACAGCTTCCTTTTGTACCCGCCTGTTTTACCCTATAGCAAGCTGGAGGTGTTGTTTTTTTTTTTTTTTTTTTTTTTTTTCCTGCTTAGAAAAAGGATTTTCAATCCATTCTTCTCCCTGAAAGTGAGATCAATACAACTATTGTTATGAAAACTCCCTTTCCTAATAATACAGCAGCCAGATTTTCTAGTATGAAAATGTTTTAACTTCGTAAATATCTCTCAATTACATTATACACTGCAATGTACTGAGCTGGTGGGATTTTACTGGAGACTTTGGCATTGCTCAAGTGTAAATGTAACAAACTAAAGGAGAGTCTAACCTGGAAAGAAGGCCTCGGGGTAATGGCTTTAAATTGAAGGAAGGTGAGTTTAGAGTAGACATTAGGAAGAAATTCTCACCTGTGAGGACGGTGCTGATGCGCTGGCACAGATGAGCAGTTAATAAACACGTGGCAATGTGTATGGAGACGCATGTCTGGCTTGTAGATCCCTGCTTTCTCACAGAAAAATGGGAAAAACCTTTGAGAACACCAGGAGACCCACCGGCCTCCGGGCCGGAGCGCCGTGCGGGAGGCGGGCGGTCCTCCGCGCCGGCAGGGGGCGCTGCGGCGGGGCGGGGCCGCTCGCGGCGGGCGCGGCCGGGACTGCGGGGCCGCAGAGGCGGCGGTGGCGGGGCCGCGTCGGGGCTGAGGGGGCTCGGCGGCCGCGGGGCCGCGTCGGGGCTGAGGGGGCTCGGCGGCCGCGGCCGCCCCTCCGCCGCCCCGCAGGTGAGTGCAGACATCGCGGCACGGCAACACTCCTGCCCTCCGCTGCGGGCCCGCCCGGGCCTCGGCCGCTGCGAGCCCGCCCCGCCGAGCCCCTGAGGGGGGAAGGTGGGGGGGGTCGTGCACTGCCCTTGCCAGGCGCAGATGGAGCCGGGCATGAGGGCTTGGAAATGTGGGAAAGGGTGGAAATG